GGAAATCTTTTCAGGATAGGACCAGTCAGTGGTTTCCCTGCTAACCTTTTGCTTAGTAGCCCAAAGTGTAACCTGCTACACCACCAGGGTCTCTAGTTCTCAAATTGACATCTTTGCTTATAATGGAGCATTAAAAATATGTATTTCTTTTGCCAAAAAAATTATGGGAAGCTGTGAGTATTTCCTTAATATGTTCCCAGGCTTGTACTGTGTAGAAGCTTTGATATTTGTGTAGATGTGGATTATGCTTTAGATCTGTAGCTTTGTATGAAAATATTAGATTTCTCAGCCACGTAGGTGAAGGCTTGAGGGTTATATGAGTTTCAGAAATGTGCATACACTTAGCTTTGTTTGTTCTGGCAAACTTCAAAGCACAGCTCTGGCTATCTGGAATCTTAGCAATATGTGGCCAGGCTCCGTACACTCATTCCCACATTTGACTTAGCCTTCATCTGTCCAATGCCTCAAGATGAGTCCTACCCCAAGATGGGTCTAGCACCCAGTTCTTAGTAACAGAGCTGACAACATGGCTAATAAATATTCTACCTAAATAATATAACCGAGAAAAGTATGGAACTGCTAGAAATACAATATGCTCTCTCAGTCTCACTGCTGTCTTGTACAAGGTGATACACATATGCTGACAGCAGTTACTTGGAAACTTGAAGCTGTGCAGCAGAAAGAAAATGAGCCTACTGGTTTCCCCCGAGGGGTTCAGGTATGCCCCTGAGTCACGGGACAGTCTGCACTCCGAGCTACGTGCAGCCCGTGGCACCCAAATTGGGAAACTCTCCTAATTTACTCATAAATCTTGCCTTTCTTGAAGCAATTCTTTCCCTTGAAGGAATCTTTTAATTACCATCCTCCGGACTAACCAACCAAGCTGCAAAAGCCTTAAAGCAGCTGAGAGAGGCCTCCTTCCATGCAGTCTCAGCAGGTTTCCCTGCCTATGGAAGCAATTTCTATCAGCAATTTCCTGCCAAAGCACCCAACTGAATGGAGTATGTTTTCTCAGAAGCCACTTCATTATCCATGAGAACAGAACCTTAAAACCGAACATTTTCAGAAATTGAAAATAGGCATGTAACTATTTTATTTGAAAGTAAACCAAAGATACCACGGGCCCTTTTGAGAGTTAATAATATCCTTCACTTATGCAGGGAAAGCGTTTTCTCTCTTTAGTTTGGTGCGCTGTGACTGTGGGAAACACCATGACATTATCTGTTATGCAGGAGCAACATAAATTTCCCCTGTGCCGTCTGCTTGCTTGGGTGCTCCTGTTAAGTAAGGGCATAAAACAATTATAGATAGCGATGGACTGAAAGGACACTGTTCAATATCATTAAATGCAAGCTTACTCGAACCCTGCTGTAGCCATCTGGGCACCAACAGGCCTCTGCTATACACAGATAAATAAAGAAAATATTTGTAAATGAATTTGGAGCATAGGGTGTGTCCAATAACCATACAGTTGCTGGTTCAAACCCACCATCAGCTCCATAGGCTTGAGATGATGTTATCTTCTCCCATAAAGATTTGTAACTTTGAAACCCCATATGCTTTCTATATGTTGGAATCAACTCAATGGCAATAGGCTTTACCAGTAGGTGATATTGCTACAAAGCTACATTGTCTACCAGTGGGACATGATCTGCTTTGTCCAGGAATGAAATCCTTTAAGAAGGTGGGGAAGGTGTGGAGAGGAGGGGAGGAAGGGGGAACCAATCACAATGGTCAACAACAACTACACACACACACACACACCCTCCAGGGGGAGAACAACAGAAATCATGGGAGAAGGGAGACAGCGGTTGATATAAGATATGAAAGATACATTTATAATGTATCAAGGGTGGGGAGGGGAGGAAGGGAAAAAAGAGGAGCTGATGCCAAGGGCTCAATGTGGTGAATGTCTAGAAAATAAGGATAGCAACACTGTACAAATATGCTTGATACGATTGATGGACGCATTGTTGAGAGGTGCAAGAGCCCTTAATCGCTTAATAAAATGATTAAAAGGTCTTTTAAATAAAAAAATTAAAGAAATAAAAAGAATTTGTGCCAATCACTTGTGGGTTTAAGCTTGGTAGAACAATGTAATCACGGGTTCCAGCAGCCTAAAGGAGCACACCAAAACTAGTAGAAAAGTATAGATGAGATGCACTTTTTTGCTTGTCTCCATGTTCAGCTAATGAAACCACCTTAAGTTGCATTTTCCAAAGCATATCTTATGGGACACAAACCCAGTACTATATTCTGAAAAAAATCTGGAAAGAATAAATTCCACAATATTAAGAATTTTATTATGACTTTCAGTATAGAAAATTATTCAATTTGGTTTAACTATGTGTTTCTCATATTAATTTAATAAAATCATTTTTTCCCATGTGATCCCTGTTCACATCCCATGAATCCACTGCTTAAAAGAACCAAACATAGAATGCTATTGATCAATTTGTTGTGATTGCCTAATGACTAAAGGAGAACATTTTAAACTAGAGCTCAGAGAGTTACATCATTTTTCTCAGAATAAGCACTTCTTAAATTTCCATCAGAAATCTTTGTTTTGGCAAATCAATCTACTTATTGGGAGAAATTAGACTCTTCTGTCTCCTACTGTTGAGGGGAAGGCTAGTTTACGACTCTGCTAGCTTTTCTAGATAGAAACATACCTGAGCGTTCCTTTCTGGGAAAAAGCATGAGAAGAGGGTATTTCTTATCCTTGCCTCTCTCTGCCTTTGCCATGGCTTACCCTATTGGTGAGATTTGGCTGAAATCATGTTCTTACCTGGCCTGGGCTCTTAGTTGTCTTTTTTTTTTTTCAATGGGTGCTCTTCTAGATATTGTAACAATCCATATTTCAATTAGATCAAGCATAATTGTACAAATGCTACCACCATCAGTTTCAATACATTTTCTTTCTTCTTGAATTATTTGATATCAACTCCCCTTTACCCCTTCTCTCCCCCACCTAGCCCCCAAGAAACCTTAATATTATTATTACTATTTGCCATACCTAATACCATCCATGTTCTATCTTGAACTCTTTGTGCTGCGGACAGCAAAGGCCCACGCGGTTGTGAAATGGCTATAAGTACAACTCTCTCCTCCAAGAGGCCCTAAATTAAGGTTTGGGGGAGAGTAGGCCACTCCTGGTGGTCTACATGGTAGATGGTTTTGGTGCTAGCCAAAATGATTGGAGGTCCAAGAACACCCACAGGCTGTTCATGAGAAAGGCCTGGAGATTTACTTCCAACTAATCTGCCACTGAAAACCTTACTCAGCCCCACATAAGCTCACCATGAGTCAGAACCGTCTCCACGAAAACCGGCTAGTGAGAGTTGTGTCATGAGAGGAGGAGGGTAACAAGAAACTTAACTTGGTTCCCACACCCAGATTGCACACTCACAGAGAAACGTTGACTGTGGAGAGTGGAGACCAGTTCCCTACCTGAATCCTCACCTGGTTGATTGTGTCTGTTCCCAACTGGGTTCAGAAATCAGACATGAAGGGGAAAATAAAGAACTGGCATCCTCCAACTGCACCACGTTGTGTCCTTGTAAAACCCTTCAATAGTTAAAAATGGCTGTGCAGCCGGTCACCCTGCAGCCATTTCTTCTCCAACTCTAATCATTCCCAATCCTTTCCCTTTGGTTCCCCATTGGTGCATTTGCCAACACTATTTTTGTTATTGTTGCTGTTGTTCTTCCCTGGTGAGTTTCCAACTTTCCAATCACTTAAAAAAGTAGAGAGCCCCAAATTAGGATCATTTTCTGAGAGCCTGGATTAACCTGAGCATCCATCTAGAAGGTTGGCTGGCCCCTGCAACATTTTGTGTTTAAGTAGTACATGCAAAGTACATCCCCATGCTCTGTTAGCTTTCATAACAAATGATTGGCACCAATGACCCTACTCTTTGGTTTATTATAATTTGCATTTCTATACTGTCAGGATACTTAGCAGCCATTTATGAAGGTGGACCCACCAAGCATTTCCCTCTAAATATAACTTTGTTCTGTTTGTTATATCTAAGTGCTTTATATTATATGGTTTTCTATTGGATCTTAGTGGGCTTGTTTTTAACTACATCTCAACAATAATTACATTTGTGTTGCCCTTTCCCATAGTTTAGCATAGGAAAAATTTTATTCATTTTAAATCTTCAGCATAGTTACTCAATCATTATAATTGGTGTTTGCAATACAATTCCTACATACTTCATCTTTTTGCTATTTATAATCTTTTTTTTTTTTTAAATCAATTTATTGGGGCTCATACAATTCGTCACAATACATAGATCAATTGTGTAAAGCACATCCACACATTTGTTGCCCTCATCATTCCCAAAATTTTCTTGCCTCTTGGGTTCCCGGAATCCCCCACCCTCCTTTTTTTTTTAATTTTCCCCCCCTCCCCTTCCCTTTCCCCCATGCACCCTTGATAATTCACAAACCACCACTGTATCTTATATCACACTGTCCTCTTAAGAGTTGTGTGTGTGTGTGATATTTTATCTACAGGCAAATCACTTTATGGTTTTCAAATTTTAGTGACCCCATGTGACAAAGTCCAATCACCCCATATATACAAGGGGGTACCAAAAAAATCAGAATTTTTTCAAAGATATGTACTTAAATTTTCTTATAAAACAACCTTATTACGGTTAAAGTACTCTCCATTACACTGAATACAGTTGTCAAATCAGTGATTTCTTCCTTGGAAACACTTTTCAAACTCATCTGTTTTAAAGGCTGACATCATCTCTCTCATTTTTTCTTCACCTCTTCTACATGGTCAAATTGCTATCCTTTCATGTGTCAAACTTCATCCATGGAAACAAAAAGATGTTGCACGGAGAAAGGTCAGGTGAGTCAGGTGCATGGGGCAAGGGAAGCATGTTGTTTTTTTTGCCAGAAATCAGTGCACTGAGATGGCTGATTTATCAGGTACACTGTCATGGTGGCAAAACCAGTCCCCTGTCTGCCACAAAGCAGGCCTTTTTTGTCACACACGGTTATGCTATCTTCTCAGAACCTCTAGATAGAAAGCTTGATTAACTGTCTGACTTGGTCGGACAAATTCCACTCACATAAAAAACACAAATGAGCATTGGTTTTTTGCATGCCCCCTTGTACATTCTTGACTGTCATCTTTATGAAGCCAATCGCCAGGTTCTCTCCTGTAGAGCTGCTGGGCGGGTTCAAATGTCCATCTTTCATGGCTGAGCCATAATCAGGACTCCAGAGGCTGATCACTCAACTGTCGTGGGAAGAATGGAAGAGAGAGCAAATGAAAAACAACATTGAGCACAGATTCTGTAGCTCCTCATTTGCTGAGGCTGAATTTTGTCTTCCTGTTTTATTTATTTTTTAAAATACCCACATGAACTTCATAATGCGGGAAGGTTGTGCATTAGATAACAAACTATTTCTAATACTTTATATTATGAATGACACTCCTATGAACAATTTGTTCATATTTATCTTTCGTAGAAGAAACCACTTACTTATAAATAATAGTGCTTTTAAGGCAATGGGACTTACTAACAAAATTGTTGCAATTTTCAGTCCTACTAGAAAAGTGCCACGTGAATTCATGTAACAACCCCAATGCCCAGAGAGACACATACCATAAACCCCACTGCCATCCAGTAGATTCTGATGCACTGAGACCCTAGAGGGCAGACATGAACTGTTTCCTAGAGCTTCGGAGGCTGTCATTCTTGACCAGAAAAGACTACACATTTCTCCTGCAAAGCAATTGGTGGATTTGAACTGCTGATGTTGCAGTCCAACACATATCCCAGCATACCACATAGGAAGTTATGTTTGGACATGGGTCCTAGACTTTTCAATTCTAGACTCGGTCCTCTTTCTACTTGAAAAGTCTGTTATACATATAAATAGGAACCTGCAAAATGGTTAAATTTTAGTGTCCATTTCCTGAAGTTTATTCTTTATTATAGAAATGAAAATACATTTACTATGGAACATCTTCAAAATATAAATGAATGAAGATAAATAAAAATTATGAGGTAACAACATTTTGAAATATTCCCTCTGTCATTTGTATATATACATATGCATATATATTTTATAAAATTGCGACTATTATGCAGACACTATATTGTATCCTGCTTTTTTTCTTGAAAATATACTGTGAATATTTTTCCCATGCACATAAATATGTATCAATGCTATGATTTTCAAAGGCTGCAACGTATTTTATTATTTATAATCGTTGCTGAATGTTCCATTGTGTGGCTGTAATAGCATTAATTTGTTCATTTCACTCTTGCTGGACATATAAACTGTTACTAATACTTTGCATTATGAATAGCACAGCTATAAACAATTTGTTCACATTTCTGACTCTTCTTTCAGGATAAGGAGTCACGAGGATAAAAAGTATAGTACTTTTAAGGGACAGGAGACTTGCTGACAAATTGTCAGAATTTGCAACCCTACGGGTAGTGTGAAAATTGCCAGTTTGACTACCACTGCTTCTATATTTGATTGTCTGCTAACTCTGTGGGACATGTGTCCCCCAGATCACAGACTCAGGAATATGCATGTGGGAAACGGGGGAGAGGGAGTGTCTTTTCCAAAAACATTCCCACTAGATGACAAGAGCCTTGCTACCTCCAGTTATCCTATGGCCGTTGGGAGGTGGTCCTCTGACATGACCAGACAGGGACCAAGCAAAGTCCTTGGTCATCCACGTCTAGATTCTGACAAGTACTCAGGCATATGTCCTCTTTGGTCCTCCTTTGCACATCATGTGGTTCGGACAGGCAGCAGAAAGCTCTCCTTTGAGGGTGGACGAGAGGAGGGCATAGAAACAATGCCCTTTCAACAGCATTTGGACGTTTGCTCACCTGCTAATGTCCTTCTCCTTCCTGGCCCCACAGACTCTTCTCCTCAGTTCTTCTCTTCCCTAGACATACTTTAGCCTGAAACAAACACTTTCTTATTTTAAAAGTTGTACTCACAGTGTTCTAAATTTTAATAAATCATTTTATTGGGGACTCGTACAGCTCTTATAACAATCCAGCCCTCCATTGTTCAAGCACATGTATTCATATGTTGTCATCATCATTTTCAAAACATTTTCTTTCTACAAGAGCCCATGGTATCAGCTCCTCATTTTTTATTTTGTTCCTCCACCCTCCCACCCTCATGAATCCTTGATAAATTATACATTTTTATTGTTTTCATATCTCACACCAACTGCTGTCTCCCTTCACCCTGGGTGGGGGTGGGGTGGGGGAGAGGGATTATATGCCAATCATTGTGATTGGTTCCCCCTTTCTCCTCCCACCTTCCACCTACCCACATGGTATCACTACTCCCATTATTGGTCCTGAGGGATTCATCTGTCCTGGATTCCCTGTGTTGCCAGCTCTTATCTGCACACGTGTACATGCTCTGGTCTAGCCGAATTTGTAAGGTAGATCTGGGGTCACGTTAGTGCAGGGGGAAGAAACTTTAAAGAACTAGAGGAATGCTGAATGTTTCATCAGTGCTATACTACACCCTGGCTGGCTCATCCCTTCCTTGTGACCCTTCTGTGAGGTGGTGTCCTATTGTCTACATATGGGTTTTGGGTCTCCACTATGGACCCCCACCCCCCGCCTTGTTCACATTGATATGATTGTTTTGGGTCTTCTGATGAATGAAATCCTATCCTGTCAACATCTTCTGATCACACAGGCTAGGACGCTTCTTCCACGTGGGCTTTCTTGCTTCCCAGCTAGATGGCTGCTGTATTGACATTTTACAGCATTGTTTTTTAAAATATCTGATAGACATTTTTTTAAATTAGGAAACACTTCAAACAGATTAAAGTACCTACAGTAGTATAACAACTACTCTCATATCCACTACCCCAAATATAAGAAATGTTAATTTACAAAATGAGATTCAGGTCTTGTTTTCTTCTTAAGAAATAAAATGCTAGAAATGAAACTGAAGCGTGTTATACCACTCTTACTCTATTGGCTTCCCCTCCTCCATCACCGGAGATTGCTAAAATCCTGAGAGCCCGCAGGCCCTTTCCATTCCCACGGTTATACTTTTGCAATATTCCTATGTTCAATGAATGACATTTTGCACTATTTTGTTTATAAACATAACATGCAACACATTATTACACATATATACTTTTGTACCTTGTTTTTATCAGTATTTATAATTGTTGGTGGGTCTACCCATAATGTAACCTATAAATCTAGTTCATCCCCATAACTTCTACACAGAACCCCATGATATGACTATAACACAATTTGTCCTCTCTTGATTTATGCCTTTGGTGGGGGCAGCTTATTTGGTTTGGGTACAAAAATGAATCTCTTCCAAGAAGCTGTCTTCCAGATTTCTTAGCACAGACTGGGGAGTGTTTCCAGCACTGCATCAGTTTATTGAAACATTCCAGGTGGTGTTCCATCAATGCCTGGAGCCCTGTATTTTGATTATACCTTCAAAGTGAACTTCTTCCTTCAATGCCATTGATTTTTTGGTCATGTGCTACCTCTTGAAATGATCGAACATCAATCAATTATTTTTTGTCAGTGACTGTAGTTTTCCATCTTATTTTGATGCCTCCTACTTTGTTCAATATTTTCCTCATAGAATATTTTGATATTGCATTTGAGGTTTTAAATTTTTCTTCACTTCTTTCACCATGAGATACGTGGAGTGTGTATATGTGTTGTTTCCAGGGTGACCGGAGGCTTTCTCACTCTAGGGCTTTGTACATTTATTTGATTATAATATTTTATTTTCAGTTCTGGAGCTGCCCTTTGATTTTTTCTATTCAGCTCTTTTACCACAAGATTTCTTCCCTTTGCTTTAGCTGCACCACGTTCAAGAGCAAGTTTTGGAGTCTCTGATAGCATTCACATTTGTCTTTTATTTCTTTCCTATTTTTCTTTTCTTTTAAATCATTTTATTGGGAGCTATTACAGATATAAAATTCCATAGTTGCATCACATCAAGCAGTATTGTACAGTTGCTACCACTGTCTGTTTCAAAACATTTTCTTTCTTCTTGAACTCCTTGATATCACCTTCCCCATATCCACCCTCACCCAGGAACCCTTTTTATTTTGCCACATGACCTTTTGCTTTCTTATATGATGGTCTATTCCTGGCTGTCATCTCTTAAGTGATATGACCTTGGATCAATAACGCTCAAATGTGTCACATCTATTTGTTCTTAAGATGGTCTCTGAAATCAGGTGAGATCCATTCAAGGTCATATTTTGGCTCCCCTGGACGACCTTTAATTGTCTTCAACTTTAACTTCAATCTATGTAGGAGAGTTGATGGTCCACAGTTGTCCTCCAGCCTTGTTTTGGCTGATGATATTCAACTTCTCTATTGCTTCTCCTCAGAGAGGTAGCAATTTAATCCTGTGTACCCCATCTGGCAAAGTCTTCATGTATAGTCGCCATTTATGCTATTGGAAGAAAGGTATTTGCAACGAATATGCTGTTATTCTTACAAAATTCTATCATGAGATCTCCAGGTTCATGTCCATCACCAGGACCTATTTCCAACGGACTCTTCCTCTTTTTTAAATACAATTCTTCCTCTTTTTCAAATGGTTTTTAAAAAACGAATTCTTCCTCTTTTAAAATTAACCGATTCTTCCTCTTTTTTTTTCTTACAGGGGGCTTTTACAAGTTTCCCCCTGTATGCTCTAGAACATTCATAGATACATTTGCAGTGAAGGTAATGCACCTATACATTATAGCCTGTCAAATGTGTGTGTGCGTTTGTGTGTATGTAGAGTCCCACTGTTCCACCTATACCTACTCAGCCTGTGTGTCTATACAAGCATCTACCTGTAGATCACTACTATTGCAAGAATTTTGTATAACCATTTTAGATCTGTTGCCTTTATCTCTTGCAAACTTCCCAGTGTCTTCCTGTATCTCCATCATTTGGTCCTAAATCTCCCTCTTACTGCATATTACCTTCTCCTTTACCCAAGTTACCATTTTTCTGCCCTCTAGCCAGTGAATTCCCATCCCTCCATTCCCCTCCTACTCCTTGTACACATTCAAACAGTATTTCTTGAGTTTGGAACCCTCTTGGGAACATTTTACAATCTTGATCTCACACAATATTTGTCCATTTGTGATTGACCATTCAGTCAGCCCAATGTTTCCCTCGTTCATCCATTTTATGAGGCATTTCACAGAGTCATTGCCATTCTGTAATGTTGCTTAGTATTCCATTCTGTGATGGCCCCAACATTGACTTATCCATTCCTCCACTGATGGACATCTGCTTGGTGTTGTGAATAGTGCTACAATAAACTTGAGAGTGAACATATCGATTACCATCACAACACTTATTTCTTTAGGATATACAAGTACGGGTATTGTTCAGTCACATGGTATTTCTATCCCCAATTTTTGATGAAATACCATAGCCCTTTGCATGATATTTCTATCCTTTTATAATCTTACCAGCAATATCTGAGGGTTCCAGTCTCTCCCTCTCTCTGCACCCTAGCCAGTATTTGTTGTTTCATTTTTGTTATTGTTGTTTTATTTTACTTTGCTATTAATGCTGGGGCAAAGTGACAGCTTATTGTTTTAAGTTGTGTGTTTCTAATGGCTAAGGAGCCCTGGTCGTAGAGTCAGCGAAGTGTTGGGTTGTTGATCACAAGGTCAGAAGTTCGCACCACCATGGGGAAAGAGGAGGCTTTCTACTCTGTGAAGACTTATGGTCTCAGATAAGAGCTGGAAATACAGGGAATCCAGGACAGATAAACCACACGAGATCAATAAGAGTAGTGATACCAGGAGGAAAGGGGGGAAGGTGGGGGGAGAAAGGGGGAACCAATCACAATAATCTACATATAACCCCTTCCCTGGGGGACAAACAACAGAAAAGTGGGTGATGGGAGACATCAGTCAGTGTAAGACATGAAATAATAAGAATAATTTATAAATTATCAAGAGTTTGGGAGGGGGAGTGGGAGGAAGGGGGGAAAATGAGGAGCTGATACCGAGGGCTCAAGTAGAAAGAAAATGTTTTGAAATGATGATGGCAACAAATGTACAAATGTGCTTGACACAATGGATGGATGGATGGATGGATGGATGGATGGATTGTGATACGAGCTGTATGAACCCTCAACTAAATGATTTTTAAAATAAAATAAAATAAAAGATTTACAGTCTCAGAAACACACAGAAGCAATTCTACTCTGTTCTAAAGGATCACAATGAGTCAGAATTGACTATCAGCAGTGAGTGAGTGGTAAATGATGGCAAGTATTTTTTAATATGCCCCCCACCATGGGGATGAACAGCAGAAACATGGATGAAGGAAGACAGCAGTCAATGTGAGATATGAGAACAATAATTCTTTATAATTTATCAAGGGCTTATGGCGGGGGTGGAGAGGACCTGATACCAAGGGCTCAAATAGAAAGTAAATGTTTGGAATATGATGATGGCAGCATATATATATATATGCTTGATACAATTGAAGTATGGAATGTTATAAGAGTTATAAGAGCCCCCAATAAAATGATTTTTTTCAAAAAGACAAAATGGACAATATATATATATATGTTTATATGTGTATATATATATGTTTGTTGAATGCCTCAATGCTTTCCTTGGTGAACTATATCTTCATATACTCTGCCCATTTAAAAAATTGGGTTATTTTTCTTTTCTTGTTGAGGTGTTGAAGTTATTATAAACTTCAGAAGCTAGTCCCTTGTTTGATTTGCCATTGCCAATTTTTGCCTCCAGTCTTTGGACTCTCCTTTTACTATTCTGGTGAAATCTTTTGATGCACAAAAGGGTTTTGGGAGGTCCCAATCATCTAGTTCGTCTTCTGTTGTTTGTGTGCATTCAGCTTTGCTTTATAATGTGTTTATGTTATCCATTAGGGACCCAAAGTCTGTCCCTATTTTTTCATTGGTGATTTTTATAGTTCTAAGTTTTATATTTAGTTCTTTGATATTTCTTGAGTTCATTGTTTAAAATATGATATGAGATATGTGTCCTTTTCTATTTCTTCTGTAAATGGTCAATTAAAACCCTGATACCAGATCACAGGGACTAAAGTACTGAATTTTCTCAAGAGTGAAAAATGGACTAACTTTTCAAGATTGGGGATAGGGGACACAACTAATTTACTTTTTCTACTGCAGAAAAAAGACAAAGGCCATATATATGTATTGTAATTTCATATATAAATGCCAACCCCACTGCTATCAAGATGATTCTTACCCATAGCGAATTTACAGGGCACAGTATAATTGTTCCATAGCATTTCCAGTTCCCAAGGCTGTAAATCTTCAGAAAGCATATTGTGCTTGTACACACATGTGTACACATGCATATGCACATGTAGCCCTGGGGTGTAATAGGCCACATGCATTAGGCTGCTACCAGCAAAGTCAGTGGCTCGAATGCACCAGCCCTCTATGAAAGAAAGATGGGCTTCCTGCTGTGGTAAAGATTCACAACCCTGAAACTCCCAACGGGGCAAGTTCACACATCCTATAGGGTCACCGTGAGTCTGAATCTGCATGAAGACAGTGCATTTGCAATATATATATATATATATATAATTTCCACCAGCACTGCCATTCCAACTCTCTCTATGTATCCAGAAGCCCTGGTTCCTGATGTCACAATGGGTAAAGTATTAACTACTACCTTAGAAAGATCATATACAACTTTTCTATGTTAAAATCAAAAGGAGCCTTGGTGGCGTGGTGATTACATGTCAGGCTGCATACCACAAGCTCAGTGATTCGAAACCATCAACTGCTCCATAGGAGAAAGACAGGGATTTCTACCCCTATAAGAGTTCCAGTCTCAGAAACTCACAGGGGCAGTTCTGCCCTGTCCTAAGAGGGTTGCTCTGAGTCAGCACCGACTTGATGGCAGTGAGGTTAGTTTAGGGTTTATATTAAAATGGACTCAAGTATTGTAGATTTTCACAAATGCTTTACTTTTCTACAAACCAGATAACTATCAAAGGAAACAATTGTGTTGTTGTTTTTCTGAGTCAGTCAATTTTCTTTTCATTCATTCAATAGCTACAAGGTTGAAACTGCTGTGTTGAACACAGAGAAAAGACAGATGGAGTAGAGTTGTACTTACTGGTCTGTAGAGTCATTAAAAGGGATTGATATTAAAAAGTTCCTTTTCCCTAGTCTTGGCCACGTGGCTGTGTCAAGGACACAACAGAACTAGTAAGAATAATAAATATTAAGATTAGAATATGCAGGACAATTTGGATAACTCAGAGACAGGTTTAACTGAAATGCACATCTAGATCAGTCTTCAAAATGGAAACTGAAAATTCTAAATGAAAACATTAATGTTTAGACTCCAGGGTCAAGAAGCCTGCTCAGGGGTATGCATGACAAAATCCCTTTACAACAAACGCAGAGAAAATCAATACAAAGAAAAACAGAGGAACAAACAACAACCTGACTCACTGGCACGGCGTTGCCTCTGACTCGGCGCCCTTTCGAAGCTTGGCTGTGCGTTTCTGCGACTGCAACTCTTCATGGGAGTACTGTGTCTCCTCTGGCTCCCAAAGAGCAGCTGGGGGTGAATGGACGACTTGTGGCTAGAACCCCAGCGCATAGCCCGCTATATTCCCAAGGCTCCTGAACAGGAAAACAAGCAGGTAAAGTCTTGGAAGACAATGTAATAGTTAAGTAAGCTGAACTAGCAAACTGCGAATCCTCCATGGCCTGGGCTATGGGTACAGACGGAGAAGGGGTGGAATAGGATGATTCTCTGCATCCAAAAAGAGGATATGGGTGGGGGGGGTGGGGGGCAGCCAGCTCTATATCTCCAGGAGTCCCGAGTACTCAGAGGATGTACAGGCCCATACATTAATTAGCAAGTAGACTGGGGCTACAGAACTCAGATGAGGCATTTTCTTTTTCTACTTTCTTTCTTCCCTTTTTTGCAACTTTTATTCCTAGCAGGACTGACAACTTTTATTCCCATTGCTACCTGTGGCCCAAGGCTAACAAAGGAACAAGAGTTCTGTTTCTTGCTTCCAAAACTTGTTGGGCAGTGGGAAAAAGGTCCAGAGCTACAAACTCCCTGCAGCTCCCCCTGATTGACATACCACCAGGGGCTTAGAGAAGAGTCCCCCTAAACTGCACGATTCTTTTTATATTGACAGATTTATTTAGTTGTTTTTCCTGTTCTGTTCTGTTATGGCTTTCCTGCACCACGTGACAGCGACAGGACAGCTATCTGCACAGGACCCAGCCGCTCCTCCACCCCAACAGGGACAGCTGGTGCTGCCGAGATGCCCAATCTCCCCACACAAAAGAAAGGCAGTGACGCCAACAATACACAGAACCAAAGGAGTTATCTGAAGAAGAAATAATTCAGAAAATCATGTCCAGATACTTTCAGCAGATGGAGAAAAAAGATCAAAAGAGTTGTGAAAAAAAAGCAAAAAATTAGAAACCTTACAAGCAAGCAAATAGAAAACATTAATGTTCAACAATTTTAAAAATATAATAAAATATGTTCAAAGTTTTCCAAGATTACTTAATAAATGTTACGATGTTGCTATTTTAAAATGAAAGAAATATATGTATACTGAGAGGCTTCAAAGAAATGATAAGATACTTCATTATCTTTTAATTACATGTTTTTCATAAACTTTTTGCATCTATCCTCATACACAGTGATCCATCTATAGCACATATAACTCCATAAATGCAGATAAATAAAGGATTTTTGTATTTATATGCATGTGTGCTTAAGCTTATGCCTTAGAAGACAAGGAAAATATAATAAAATGTTAAAAATACTTAGCTGATAAATATGATGACAATTTTGTTTGTTATCTCCCACATTCCCAAATTTTATAGAGCTGTACACTCATTACTTTAAATTTTCTTAATGTGTATGTACAAGTAGAAGAAAGAAGTAACTTTAGAGCTAATTGCTTATTGTAATGTAGTTCAGTAGCAATTGCCTTTACTATTTTGCTGCATTCCTTTGTTAGCTGGAAAAGAAGCCAGCTTCCCTGAGAGCTGTTATCTGCGGTTGGCAGTCAGGAGAGCTAGAGAAGTTGTGATAAATGCAGATGAGCGGTTGTAAAGCGGACCTTTGTGCTGGCTTTGTATAGAAGAAGATCCATTCACAAAACAGCTGATTTTGGTGTTTTGCTTTGTTCTTTTCACTGAATCAGGTTACTGGTGTGATCAATTGAGCATAACTGATTCATTAAGATGACAAAAAAAAAGAGAGATTTAACTAAAAGTAATTGATCCAATAGCCACATGTAGACATAGAATCAATTTCAGGATCAACATAATGAGAAAATCAAGGTAAATACTTGTTTGGTAAAGCATATTTAAATGTGCTTTGGAACTGGAATAGACTATTCCGTTTTGTTTTGTTTTTTGTAGACCAGCAATTACTCTAATTATTTTAAGATGAATATTTATGTAGAACCTTTGCTGACAGATAAGATGTTTTTTAAAGCAATTGTTTTGACAGGTTTTGTATTTTTATTTCATTTTTTCACTTTTGACTGGTAGCAGCTAGCCAGTGACTTAAGAGAATGCGGTATCACACGCTCTCTCCCTCTCTCATTTCCCAAACCAGCAGAATGCTCAGCTGGGTCAGGAGGGTCGTCCTGTCTCACACACACACACACACACACACACACACACACATTCTGTCGACAGGGGGATTCAACGGTCCCACATTCATTCTCTTTATTGCTGCTGAAATAATTTCTGTTCACAAGATTATTACTTCTGAGAACTTTAAATGAAAGACTACAATAGTTAGAACCGAGTGGAAATAATTATTCATAAAGAAAAAATTAGGTTGAAAGTCATAATAAAGCCTAAATCACCTTGGATAAAAATGAACTGATGCCACGGATTAACATGCATAAACACGCTGGCAGCCACTAACATGCTAATGAGCATGAATGAGTATTGGTAAAATCATAGAGTCTTGGTTGTAAATTAGATGTTATTAAATTCATTTCCATTTTCATTGTGTACACCTGCCCAGAGAGTGGCCTATGTTTTGTTTTAAGACTAAAACCAAAGGTTCCTAAATTTGAGTCTCCTTCTCTTTCCCAAAATACCCTCTTCCAATTAGGTGTGTGAGGTCACTCTTTGTGTTGAGCATTAATACTTGCTGTTATAGATTGGCTCCTGTCCTCAAAAACAGGGTTGTTAACCTTTTTCCACTCTCGACCCCCTTTTGCCTGAGAAATTTGTGAAAACAGGCATTGCCAGAAATAACTTGGATTCCTTATGCATTTGATTTTCAATTAATTTTTGAACGTTGCATGTTCAGAAATCTTTTGTGGTTGCCAACTTTTTTCTCACCCCCCACATTCACTCATGCAACCCCATATAGGGTCCCGACTCAACCTTTGATCAGCTTTCCTCAAAAAGAAACAGAGTCTCTAGTAATGTTATCAGCTAAGATGAAATCGCACTGAATTGGGTGGGGCCTAATCCATCCTGAATATTGTCCTTATAAAAGAGTTTAAATACAGAGAGCCAGAGAGAAAACCACTACGTGAGATGGAGCCATCCTGTGCCCACAAGCCAAGGACTCCACGCTGAGACATGCAAGAGTGTAAGATATGACAAAATAATAATGTATAAATTATCAAGGGTTCATGAGGGAGGGGGAAGCAGGGAGGGAGGGGGAAAATGAGAAGCTGATGCCAGGGGCTTCCGTGGGAGCAAATGTTTTGAGAATGATGAGGGTAATGACTGTACAAATGTGCCTCATACAATTGATTTGTGAATGGATTGTGATAAGAGTTGCATGAGCCCCAAATAAAATTATTTTTTAAAAAAAGAATGCCCACATGGCCAGCCCCACTATGAGACATGATGCCCCTCACTGACCCATGGCCCTGAGGGGGACAACACCAGAGACACAGTGTGGGAATTGCACCC